ACAGTGTATTCATTAATTTTCATTTTCATGTAGTAAAGGCTCTATGCCTTCATAAAGGACGTACTTTTCCTTTGTTTAAGGGTATTTGGGCAGTTTATTCTCTGTTGTATTCTCAAGTAAACAATACATACAAGTACAGTACAGTATTTTCTGAGGAAACACTCATACTTATTTTTTTAAACCCCATTCCCGATAACCCGGCATTTTCACAAACTCGGCCACCCTTCGGTCCACATTAAGCCGAGTTTTCGACGCTCTACTGTACCAAATTATTTAGAATTTAATTTAAAATAATAGCAGTAAAGTAGCCCAATTTAATCTGGCAATCTTTTGGCATATTACTACAATATCAGGCTTCAGGATGTTTCAATATTTACTAAATTTCAATTCCATAAAAAATTAAAAGTATTTTAGTTTAATATGAAATTTTTTATTGTAAATAATTTCTACAATTTCTGTTTAATCCAATAATCACATTTTAATCATTCATCATTCTCTCACTTATTTATTAACAGATGTTTACAGTAAATAAACAATGATACCATGACATTTTATTTATTACTGATTTAGTTATAATATTCAAAAATTTATTGGATAAAATATAGTAATTGAATGATACTAAAAATGATATTTTCAAAACAAGATGAGTTACTCTAAACTAAAAATATATAAAAAATAATTTACATAATATCAAAACATTAAAATTATATATGCATTAATTTATAAAAACTCTTGACAAATGTATTTTCATTTTGCAACAGTTTTCTTACGAAAGAAATATAAGTACGTGTTTTATATGTTTTATTACCTTTATTTCTGGAATTATTTTATTGTAAGTTCCAGCCTGTTTTAACATTGTTTTATTTATTCATTCATTCTATACATAGGTATGAAATATGTCAATGACCGAATTTTGCCACAACTCTCAAATATGAACAAGAAAATTAAAATAAAACAAAATTAAAGTACAAGATATATATAAATGACTTAGAAAAATACAGTAAATTTAGAAAACATTCAGTTTGAAATAAGATATTAAAACAATTTGATATTTATATTATTAAGATTATTCATGTTATGGTGTTCAGTAATTAATATGACTTTTTAGTAAAATAATTAATTGAATTTAATAAAATTTTTTTAAATATTAAGTGGTAATATCACCACAACCAAATTTTAGCCAGTTGCATATCATCACATGTTCTTAATCATTAAATTGTTTTATTAATTTACTATTTCCAAATTGGAAGTAACCAAATATGAAGTTAAATGTGTTGTGATATCACTGCCTGCAGATCAATCCACTACTGAAAAGTTTTCAGTGGTGGATTGATTTGCAGGCAGTGATATCACAAATTCATTTAATACAATGAACTTTAACAGTCATTTGAAAGAAAGTTATGAACTTTCACAACTTTTTTTTAATAAAATACTAAAGAACAGGTTTCTAGGAAGTACTGTATAAATAAAATGTAAAAAAGAAGATAAATTTCCCAAAAAAAAAATCAAGGGAAAAGAAGATAAAATTTAACAACAGTGCAAATCCAAACACAAACATAGGCCTCACAAAGATACAATGCTGCCACTAACAAACAAAATTTCTCTTTTACAATATTTACACGATTATTTTTAGATATCATGAACAAGCAATCAATTAAAGATAAGAAAATGCAGAAAAATCAATGTAATATTATTATATAATAATAAGACAAATTTTAATAACCATATAGCTTCTTATATTTAAATTCTTGATTATATATTATAATAAATTTTAAAAAACATATCAAATTAATCATCTAAATAAACATGAAGATCTTATTACACCTCATTGGATATTATTAATTTGTAATTAATAATACCAAAATGAAAAACTTATTTTTTACTAAAAAATTTGGCTCATATTAATTGCTCAATTACTATCAGATTCAAAACATCATTTGCTTATTACATTGATAATAAAAAACCTTCCTTGTTAGTAGAAATGGGCATCTTTGGTAAACAAACAAGTATGTCCCAACACAATAGCTGAATAATTTACTAAATTTTTATGGTAAGTTTTCAATACGACAAAACAGAGTAATTTAATCTATTAATACTTTAAAATTTTTATAAAAATTCACAATTTTTAAATAAATTGCTTTTATTTAACATTAATAATAACACTTTAACAATTAAATATTCAGAAAATAATCTAGGACAGAATTATTTTGTCTCACAATAGAACATACCTTACCAGTGAACCAAAGATGACCTGTTCAATACTTCCCAGGAAAAACAAAGGAAAAAAAAGCAAAATTTTTAATTGGTATCAATTACAGAATCATAGATTAATATTTAGTTTTACTTTTGATTTATAACAAAATTTCTTAATTATCAGTTAATAGCTTTATTACATAAAAAATAAATATATTCAAAAATTTATTTTTAAATCAATCAATTATATTCAGTAGAACACTACTTAAATTAACTACCAATAGCTAACTACTACAATAGAAGAAACTAAATGAAAAGATAAGGCTAGTAAAAACACTAATTAATCTAAAAAAATTTTAAGCATTAAAGCAATATTGACCCAAACGTTTAGAAACAAAACATATTTGATCAAAATACAAAAATTTATGTAAATTTTTCAAAAAATATGAAAAATTCTATATAAAAGATTCTAAACAGAAAAAAAATTGTATATCAAATCTATAAATTCTACTATAAAAATAGTTAAAAATTATTCGAATAAACTGTTTCCAAATTCTTACATAAGTTGAAGATCAGAAAAGCCTCGAAAAATTTATTGCATGAAATTAAACTTTAAAAAATGATCATTTTTAATGTACAGTACATTTAATAACTATTTCATAGAAAATATAAATCTTACATTCTTACATTAAACTGGAAAAGTTTTTACTCTGTCAACAAGAATATCAGAACTAAAAAAAAAAGAAAAACAACAATGGATTTTGTGACCTTTCAACTTCATAAAAATTCATATAACTTTTTATATAAAAAATTAACAATATATTTTATCTCATTTTAAATTACGAATAGTAACAGAAACAATTAAATTGAAAAAATAAATAAAAATTTATTTATTCTTAAACAAAAACTAAATCAAAATATACAAATAATGAACTTGAAATCTACAAACTAAAATTTATTCTTAATTTAATTTTAAAAAAAATATATTCATATAGGCCAAACCTGCAAAAATTTCTATTGTAAGTTTTAATATCTTTTAGAATCGACATAAAACCCTTGAAACGTCAGCCAGATGGTCAAGCGGCCAAGGTGGCAGCCTACCACTCTGGGAGACCCAGGTTCAAATCCGGATTGGTCGAAAAATTTCCAGGAATTTTTCAGGGGTACGTCGGGCCCTGTCCCTCACCACCCAACCAAATCCATAATGGGCTTCCTAAAAAGAGGCCCATGTATAGTGCGAGAAGAGTTAAAGAAAAGAAAAAAACCCTCAAAACAGGAAATCCATAATATAATAAAAATCACATTCAAATAAATACTAGGAACTAATTAAAAATAATGATGAATATAATTAATAGAACAATTAAAAAAAAAATTAAAACTTTCCCTTCAATTTATAAAATTTATTTTGGAAAATTTAATTTTAAAAATAAAATAAATAAATAAAATGTAATAATAATTTTAACTCATCTCGACTTATAAATTTACATTGCAGAAGTAACTTTTCTACTAATGACAATGGATGACAACTTTTAAAAATGGCTTCTTTATTAAAAACATTTGATATCCATTAAAAAACATTTGAAAGCGAATAATTACATACAATTTATACGAAATTTTATCCGTTTATCAGAATAATTAATAATAAAATCACGCGATATCGCTTATAAAAATCGGAAGTAAATCATCTTTTCTCTTTAAATGGGTCGCCATCTTGAACGATTCACAACAAACCTCACGTATCAAATGTTTTTAAATCGTATGTATTTGTTTAGATGGAGAATTAAGCGATTTCGTCGATTACAGTTTACGTTTAATCATTATTCTACGATAAATATTTCAGTGGAAAGCATTACTTACCGGAGGTGGTTTGATTTTACAGATACCAGTTTGTTCGGCTATCGGTCTGATTTTCGATATATAACCTAAAGGATCCTTAAATTCTTCTGGCGTAGGTCTAAAAATCGGAGCCTCTGGAGGTGGTATGAACTCACAATCCGTCGTCCCCATTTTTTCACTAAATCGTATTCTTACAAAGAGAAATTCTTTCCGTCCATCTTGGATTTGTATAAACGATGACGAAAGCAATCCCGCAGTAATCGGAAAAAAAATAATAATAATAACTTCGCAGATAATGAAAAATTTATTCGTTTAAATATAAATTATATATTCAATTAATTATTAAATATACCGGCGCGTTTAAAGAGTTTACGTAAATAATTACTTTTTTTTTTAATACGTCGATTAATTTTGGGGTGAATTGTTTACGGTATGTCGTAAAGGTGTCGCTGTTGTTTTATAATTAATTTACAATGTTTGTCTTTCGCTCTCGATTCTAACGCGTAATGCTTTAAAAATTTTATATTTAAAGAATGGGAAATTATTAAAATCGTGCATTGAGATAATTTTATAGTTAAAATTTAATCTAAAATATTACAAAATATTATTGTTGTTATTGTTATTCCATCGATCTTTTAATCATTAGACGAACTACTTCAAAATTTATAAAATCAATATTCTCGAATTTATAATATAGTGCGATCGTAAATTCGTTCCGCAGTGGGCCACGCCCATGTAGTTCGGTCGAGTGTGACGTCATAACTCGTCAGAGAGGGCGTCCATTCGACAGAAAATCCGGCGCTGTGTACAGTACGTCTTATCTCTTGTGTGACGTTGCAATGGTTTCTCATATATCCGCCGGACAGGCCGCTTTAAATAGTCACCAGGCGGCAGCACCTCGGGGAACGTTGCCTAAGCAGCTGCACTCTCCATATAAACCAAGAAAGAAAGTTGCATGGTTTCTCGTCATGCCCACCACTGAGCAAAGAGTGTTTCTCGTAGAGGCTGTGTTTAGGGCAGATGACATGTATACGGAAGATGTTTGCCAGAAAGTTTCCAGGGTTTACAGTACCTCATTGGGATATGGTGCGGGATCTCATCTCTAAGTTTCGATGAACCAGTTCCGTTGCTGATGAAGCAAGAAGCGGTCGTCCCAGTATTTTAACAGACGACAAGCTGTCAGAAATCAATGACAAGATGTTAGCGAACCCCACAAAAGTGCTGCAGAAGTTAGCTCGAGAGACAAACATCAGTTACGGAAGTGCACAGAAAGTTTTTTGTAAAAGATTAAGTTTGATCCTTACAAAGTGAGGTGTGCACGGGAGTTAAAACCTGCAGATTATGAGGAATGGAAGGCATATTGCAAATGGTTCCAACAATATAATGTATTTCCCACGCTGCTTGACCAACAAACTCCATCTGACCGTGCCTCTAAGGCAAGTCCAAGAATGTTGGCAAAATGCCAGTGACAAACACCCACCCATAAGGTGGCTGAACTACTTATGGAGTGTGTAATAAGTTGTGATATTTTTCATTTGCTTTATTTTGTGTATTACAGACAGTTAATTAAATCAAAACAATTTTAAAATTATTTTATTTACAAAAGATTAATTTTTTTATAGTACAGTATTTATGGAATTGCCTTTCNAAGTTAAATATTAAAAATACCAACTATAAAAGTATTTGGATAAATGCCCCAAACTCCTTTCAGAGTAGAGTACCCCCCCTGTGAGTGCTTCTGCCCCCATAAAATGACTTGGTATTTAATTTTGCCGGAGTTGGTCCACTAAAATTATCAGGAATCAGAGTCGAGTGTTTTTTTTTACAAACTCTGCAATCCTGGGTTTCGCTACAAGTAATTGGTTGAAATGCAACTGGGTTACATGCTTTCGATAGCAATTATGTTTTAACAATTTAGTTAATAACTCTCCAATACTGTTTTGTTTGGGAAATAATTTTAAATTGTTTTGTAACATATATGAAAAATAATTTAAAACTGTGGATGTACTTTGTTCCAGAAAAAAAATTTAAATTGAGCTTTTAAATCATTCATACAAATGCATTCAATTTGTGTATGAATACAATTTAATTAACATTGTCTTTTTGTCATCTGATTGCAACTTGCCGTTTTCCAAGCGAAACACATGGTTTTAGTATTGTCATGTACCAGCATTAGTCACATTTTTTTGTGTTAAAATGTCCTCAAAGAAGAGACAATGCAGCCAGCAAACTACAAGTTGTCAGTTTGAGATATTAGTTATATTAGTTACTATCCCCAAAAGAAAGATTTCTCTCTTATGTAATTTCATATCAGGTTGTGTGTCAATTATCTAGGATAAGATATTCACAAGAACAACTGCTGTGGGCTTGGAACCACAATGGCTGGAATAGTCATTCAAGGACCTCTGGCCATGTGTAAAATGTTTACACCATTCAAATGTTTTACTGTGGCTGAGTATCTCATCATCATATTGTGCTTGAAGTCTTCTGTAAATATCCATGAATTTTATGCTTTCTTTCACAAAAAACTTCATCACAACTCGCTGTTCCATGCGAGTAGTAATGCTGTTGTCTGTCATTTTGAATATCTGTCATGTGAATGGCTCGCAATAAGTGAGTTGCCTACTGTTAATAGAGTACATTTTCCACTTGCAGTAGAGTAAGTAGTACTGCCATGTTAGCATCTTTTCTTGTACCTGTAAAACTAAATGTTCCAGTTTGACTCAAATACCTCTCTTAGTGAAGATCAATTAGAAGTTTTGGGGTATCGGATAGAACTGGAAAATAATTTTAAAAAAATTATGTAGGCTCACCATAAAGGAATTTAGAAATAAGAATGTTGAAATTTAGAAGATAGGATATTAAAAAAAATTCAAAATGCAACAATAAACCTTACATAAGAAAAATATAATAAAAACACATGAATAAGATGGAATGATGATGATGGAACAAGTTTAAGAACTAAGAAATAATCATTTATATATATATATATATATATATATACATGCAAATACACACATACATTTATAATATGTATTATATATTAATGTTTGAAATAAGGCATTCTTATGTGTTGGAGTTGAGTTATGAATTAATAGCTCCTGAAGATGAAAGTACAGTACATAAGTACTCAGAATTAAATAATAGAATTATAAATTGTTTGGACTACAAGAAAGTCAGTTTGGTTCATTACAATTATTGAAGTTCGGAGTCATTAAATAACGTACTCCAAGAAGTTTAGAGTCGGGATTTGTAAGATGAATAAAGTTTTTTTATAATTGATATACTGCCCTTTCACTCTGAAGTGCTCTTTCATTAATCTACATTAATTATTGTATGAGGTTATTTAGATTATTAAGAATGAGAAGTCTAGAGTCTGCCCCTGAAAAATTTTTGAATTATAATGTATCAGTACATACAAAACAGTATTAAAATGTTTGATATTTAAACATTACATTAAATAATTTTCTAAACAATATAAATAATCAAACAGAATTTTGTCATTTGGAACAATAGACAGAGATAGAACAATCATTTGGAACAATAGACAGAGATAGAACAATCATTTGGAACAGTATACATATATATGATGAATTAATCTTTTTCCCAAATTAGTCTTTGATGAATTTTTCATTGAACAACATACTTTATATTTGGTTTGATGCAAACTTTACTTCTGGGGAGACTATAACTCACTTCATACAAAATTCTCTGTTAAAAAACATACAAGCAACTTTAACTTGTACCATACTGCATGCAGTATAAATATTCTTGTTCAGTGACTACATTGCATTAATGTTGGATCTTTGCCAAAACATTATTTAATTGTTTACTCTTAATATGACAAATCCATTGTGTCTAAGTACCATAACATAGTTGATACACCCGTAAGGTAATATGATTTATTTTTAACATTTTTATCACACAGTGTCTGTTACAAAAAAATTGAGTTTTATACTTTTGTTGATAAAATTAAAACTCTTTAATGAAATCAAATCTCTTTAATTTCTTTATAAATACAGTATTTGTTCATAAAGTACATATATAATAAATAGTTAATATGCACAATATATTTTTTAGTTTAAGCAAGGCACTGAATCTATGAGCAAATGCAAATAATTTAAATTATATCTATCTAATTTTTTATATTGCTCTGTTTTGGTTAAAATCAGTTCACAGAGCTGCTGCTTAACCACTCTCCATACATTGTCTATGAAGATAATGTCTGGTGAGCTGCAGACCACAAGATGACATCTAATCCATCCTTCAAACTAAACCAGTTGCAGTTGAAATTTGAAGGTTTCATCATCTCAAATCCATTTCTTCACTTGCTTGATGATTGCTGGACTTGTTATGTCAACTAAACCAATAAATTACACTCCAAAACGGGAATATCTTACAAAAATACAGATACAGATCTAAAACCAGCACAAATTAACTCAAAATAGTACTTTTACTAATGTGTGTGTGTCTATGTTTATGTACGATATTCCAGTTTTGGAGCTTAATTAATTAACAAAAGGTGGCTTTGTCAGCCAATTTCTATCATAAATGTGTTCTAATGTATTATACCTGAGAATGTCAGATAGACACAAATGTTCGTAAAGTACTATTTTGAGTTAATTTCTACTGGTTTTAATTGAACAAATTCCTCGATCGAAGTTGTTCATTCTTCAATAGCACTACAGTACTTTTCAGTTATCTAATTCTGTTGACATTATTATTTTTCATTCCATCAGCAAATAAATAAAATGACAAAAATTTTGCTGACTCATCAAAAGTATATTACATACCTTATAAATAGAGGGCAATTTATTTTAATTTCAGTCCATAGTTTTAAAAAATTATTATAATTTTGCTTAAATATATCAGTGGCTCAATTTGTTTGTAAGAGATTGTATTTTACACTTAATATAAAGTTATTTATATATTCTAAAGTAGTATAATTCAGTTTTACTGTAAAGCTTTTAACTCGCTTAGTATCTTCACTTCGACCTTTACCATTTGATAACTGGACAGCCAAGTGGCTAAGGTAACCT